AACCCCCCTTCATTGGCATCTCCTCAATGGGTAAGTGGGCCTGCTCCTGACCATTGGTGTGCCCTTGTTCTGAAGTCACTGCACTTGGTCAGTCTTCTACACCAAGGCCCAAAGTTGGTCACAGTGTTCTAGGTGCCATCAACAAACTGTTGAGTAAAATTGGAGAATCACATCCCTCAATCCAGAGGAAAAGGAGTAGAATCCCTTCCCTTGATCTACGGAATGTGATGCTCTTGATAGAGCCCACAGAGGATATGGCTCTCAAGGCAAAGGGGTTTATGTCCACGCAAGGCAAAGGAAAAGCTTTGGAGAATGCGGGCATCGATCCCGCTGCCTCTCACATGCTAAGCGAGCGCTCTACCACTTGAGCTAATTCCCCTGCCCATGGCCTCTGTCTCATGTCCTCTCCCCGCCCAGGCACCCACCCCTGACCCGGCTGCCCAGCACCCACGGCCTGGGCTTCTCATCAGCCTTGGTTTTACATCAACACTCACCCATTCACTTTCCTGATGGAGGTGCCTCCTTACAACACCAGTGCTCAGGACCACCATCCCGTACCCAGGTTTAACCAAAACTGCCTTGGATGGTCATCTTCCCCACCACAGGCAAGAGCTCAAGGCAGGGCTGCCCTTTGCACTTCAAGGGCAGACACCAAAAGGCAGAGGTGTGTCAGGGTCTGGGCCAGAGCCAAAAGGGCACTCCTTCGAGCCGGAGTTGAACCAGCGACCTAAGGATGGCCATGCAAGGCCATTGATGAAGTGCTGAGAAAAGGAGTAGAATCCCTTCCCTTGATCTACGGAATGTGATGCTCTTGATAGAGCCCACAGAGGATATGGCTCTCAAGGCAAAGGGGTTTATGTCCACGCAAGGCAAAGGAAAAGCTTTGGAGAATGCGGGCATCGATCCAGCTGCCTCTCACATGCTAAGCGAGCGCTCTACCACTTGAGCTAATTCCCCTGCCCATGACCTCTGCCTTACGTTCTCTCCCCACCCAGGCACCCACCCATGATCCCGGCTGCCCAGCACCCAAGGCCTGGGCTTCTCATCAGCTATTGAAGGGAATGGCAGAGCTGTATCTGATCTCTCATCCTAAGCTTCCCACTGACAGAGGTGCTGATCTTATTTCTCTGACTTCATTTCCATGAGCTCTCCATCCACCCTGTTGGATGGCTATTTCTCTGCTTGTCCCTTTTGTCTCCCAAAAACATCACTTTCCTTGCTGCTGTGGAGGGCTGCAGTGGTCAGCGGTTCCAACGTGGTGGTGGAGAAAGCCATTCATCATGAGAAAAATCTGGACATAAATCCATGGGTTTGTTAAGGGAAGTAGCCAACAAACTCCTGTGTTCATTTCACTCCCTGTTTTTTGGCTTCTTCCTTTTTCTCATAATAAATGACAATTATCACATAACTAGGAATGTCACTTTTCCAGGCACCCACAGAGAAGCTTCTATATAGCTGATACTTATGTCCCATATTTATTGTCCTTACTTTTATCGTTTCTTGGGTTGGACCTAATGAAGTTCTTTTTTTCAGTCATATGAATTGCACTACCAGTATATAGATCTCTTTCCCATTACTAAATCATGTCCAATTAGCATATGCCATCTTCATGTGCATGGAGTTTTGTTAATGTATTATTTTTAGTGAGGATAGTTTTCTCAAAATCAAAATAAGAACACATATCAACTTTTGTTACCTGTACTATGTTGAAAGTAATTCTCTTAATATTCTAAAACAATATTAAATAAAGTGAGTGTGCAACTAATGTTTTTCACCTTTTCAAAACTACATTTTGTTCAAATTCTCATTTTCTATGAGATTTTTGGTGATATGGAGAGGGCAGAAGATATCTTTGGGATCATGGGAAAAGAAAGGCTGGAGATTGATTGTCCAGTGCCTGGAACCATGCATGAATTTTGAAAGTAATACCTTTCCCATTTTTTAAAATTCTAATTGCTGGGGTTTGTTTTCAGCTAAGAAAAGGGATAGATTGCATAAACTACTTAAATACTTGGATCTCACAGAATGTCATTAGTCATGCAAGACTTAGCTGGTTTTTCCAGTTCTCCTATTTAATCTTTTATTATGTTTAAGGTACCAGATGTTAAATATGACTGAAAATTTATGTTTAAGGTAACACAGGCAAAGCATATTAAACACGACTGAACGTGAACACCTCCATGCTATTAGAAACATATTTAAGCAGTTATTTATTATCTATGCGAAGATGAATTGGGTTCAGAGCACTGAACTGAAGAGATTGTTGGCAGAGGCTGTTCCCAGGCTCGTATCAATCCTGATATTGGCAGAATGGCTCCAAGGCAGGAACTGTCATGAAGAGCAAAGCAGTTACATTTTACTGAGGGAATAACCTGTAGTTATTCCAATTTCAGTGGAAAGTCAAGCAAGACCCTACTCTGAGGATTAATTTGTTAGAAGTGTGGCCACACTGCCTTCACCCCACAAATAATATTTTTGGGTGTAACAGTCATGGCTAGCTCCTGGAACACTCGGAGAGAATATTTACAAAATGCAACAGAGCTTGACCGAGGTGAGGATCACGGAATTTAAAACACTACTAAATCACTTTTGAGGCCGCTAGAGGTCAGCACTAGTCATTAAATAAATGTCCTGGAAAAAATCTGGCCAGTTCTTCAAAGGGAGTGGAGATTTTTTAAAGGATACACTGCTGGCTGTGCTTGTTGTACAGGTACGTATGAACTCTTGCTGCCAGTGCTCCAAAATGGTTGGAAGCAAACCCTTTCTTCTCCAAGCTGTGCTTCCCCAGCACTGTCCATGAGCCAGCAGTCCCACACTGTCCCTTTCAAGCTGTCCCTGTCCTCAGATGCCATAGTGCTGTGTACAGTCAGGGGAAAAAGACCATACTGAGCCCCGTCCCAGCAAAGGCTTCCCATCAGCATAAAGAGCTCAAAACAGTTGACAATCAGCTTCTACTGCTTTAAAAACTGTCTCAGAAGTGTGACAGTGGGGAATTAGGCCCAAAGACCGTCACTTGAAACTGGGGCTACCTCACTTTGCTCTTCCACCTTGTGCTTCAGAAAGATGCTTCCTTTCTATTGCAACTCCTAACTGTGATTTCTGTCATCACTGTCCGGGCTTCTGCAAACACAGACACTGTTTACAAAATTTTAATATAGCTGCTATTGATAGGCAATTGAATACAGAATTTCCTTTGCTATAAAGTAGACGATGCTGATAGGATAAGCAGTGTGATCATCATGTTTTTAAACAACCTTTAAAAAATCTTTCTTTGTTGAAACCTGCTAAATGATATAAATCAGCTGGCAATCATAATGCAACAAATGCATGTGATTATTATCATGCTGCAATCTGTGCCTTCAGCATGTATCACTGTCTCCTTTAACATGGTGTCTGGCTAGGTATCATTACACAAAGTTCAAGCCCAGTTTAACAGGAACACCTCTTTTACCAAAACTTTCATGTTTGGACACTTTGTGTCCCTTTTCTTCCCCTGAGTACACCCGATATGGAAAAAAGTAGGCTGGACACACTCTTCAGAACAATTATATATCCATTAAAATATTTTGTAATGTTTTGTAAGTGTCTGTACAACGCACACATACAGATCGTTTATTTTCCTTCTGGGCTTTTTTTTTTCCACCTTTAAGAAAACTGGCTCTGAAATATCATCCTGACAAGAATCCGGACAATCCAGAGGCTGCAGAAAAGTTTAAAGAGATCAACAATGCTCATGCAACACTGACTGATGTGTCGAAGCGAAACATATATGACAAGTATGGATCGTTAGGTCTCTATGTGGCAGAACAGTTTGGTGAGGAAAATGTTAACACATACTTCATGCTTTCAAGCTGGTGGGCAAAGGTAAGTTGTTATTTTCTTTTGGAAATTGATGCACACAGACAATTACATACACAAGGAACCCCCTGAAAAACATGGTCTCTCTACAGGCTTAACAAATAGTAGGATCCGTAGCTAAACCACTACTAAAAGGTTAATTAAATAACAATATTATCTGGAAAGGTGACAGTGGCAGAAAGTAACATTAACTCAGAATAGTGCTAATATAGAATGTTTTCTTTTTCTTTTTAACTTGGTAAATAGTTAAGAAGAGTCTTGTAACACTTTCAGATATTCATTAGATTTGAACCTAGTGCTCCAGGTTAATTTTTACTTTATTTTCAGTAATGACTAAATAAAAATGACTCATTGTTCAAAAACGGGAAGTCCCACTTATGTGACAACCAGTTAATAAGATATTACAGTGCAAATTTAGCTGTGTTCTTTGCTATATATAGCACACAGCATAAGTAAGCAAAAATAATACATAACACTGTGATTATGGTGGCATGCATGTGCCCTGGTGAGGGAGTGAGAAAAAGGCAGTGGAAGAAAAGGTGAGAAGGGTGGAGTGGAGGAAAAGAGTAGGAAAGGAAGGGAATGGTACAACAAAAACTGGCATATTGCTCAAGGAAAAACACATCCTGAGCTGCTCTACCCATAAAGGAGTTGTGTTCATGTGTTCTCTTACGTCACTGGTGTCCTCTGAAGTTTGTGTATGTCAGATTTGAGTGTTTCAGTGAATACTGAAGCGTCACAGAAATGTAAAAAAGCAACAGAATTGCAAATGTGCAAAATCCATGCTGTCCCCAGCTATTTCCAGTAATAGAAGCACAGGAAAGCAGGGACTCTGCTGGAATACACAGGAAAATTATCTGTACTGCGTGAGGCAATCACAATGTGACAGCTTTGATCTCAGAACCATGGACCATGGATTCCTGTGTTCAGCATGGATGAGACCAGTGCTTCACTGCCTCGCAGTCCCCTTTCAAACTGGGAAGTCACTTAGGCAATTTGTGGGTCTGAGAAGCCACAATTTGCCTGCTGAATCAGGATGAGATGAAAGCTGCTCAAATGCAGAACAGCAAATAAAACTAATGAATGCGCAAAGGTGCAGTTGCACCCTGAGAAGCAGGC